ATCGAAGATCATCAAAAGATGATTAATTTGATATATTATACTCTAAAATCAATAAGAAATACAAAAGTTATCAACTTTTAAAATTCATTTACAATTCAATAGCTATTTAAAGGAAGCAAATCAAAGTCATGGATATATTAGTCACTTAGTGTCTCACTATGTAAAAATACAAAGAATTAAAAGGTTAGATTAGTACAAGTGATATTAAAAAAGTTAGCTAAATAATATTTATGGAATGTCCGGACCTAGATTATTAATTTAATATATCAATATTATTTGTCCAAACCTAATTATGAAGCATGATTCTTCGCCAAGTAGGATTCCGAAACACCAGAAGCAGTCAGTAGACTCAGCACATTCGGGAATTATATATAGGGGGTCGTTATAAATCTCATGTATGAAGGTAGAATTTTAAATAGGATTTTGGTATTTGTGATCTATATATAAATATATATATTGAAAGATGTGATTGAATAATCCAAAATAATATTTTGATTTTACAATTAAATAAGTTGACTTACTATTAAATGAAATATTATAAAAATTATGTTAGTATTTATTAAAAAAATAAAAATCAAATTATACATACCTATTGTAAATCGTGCAAATCGATTAATGACACGAATTTCTATATAAACAAAGTGGTATTCATATTAAAATTATTTTGTGATAAAAATCCGATTCTTCATGTTAATTATGATTACTGGAATTTCTTATTCTTTGGTAATCAACCATACAACATGTATTCAAAAAATATTTATTAAATAGTTTTTTATAAAGTGTTATCGGAATATGCATGAAAAAGTTGCAAATACGATTACAAAATAAAAATTGAAAACCAGTATTAAATTTTTATTATGATATTTATCACAACATTACAATAAAATCTTATTTATCAACATTAACAACAAATCACGGTAATTTCTTAATAATTTGATAACCAACCATATACCAAAATATTTTTTTATCGTATCTTGAAAAAATCATTCTATCAAGATGATTAGTTTAAAATAATTTGATTTATCAGGTCATGCTTGTTTACAAATTAATTTACTCACATTTAATTCATACTCAAATTTTCACTTAACTTTAATTCAACCAAATGTCCTTAACAATTTTCACATAATTAAATAAAGACAAACCAATAATTCATACACATTACATCAACTTCAATTCACGATTCGTCCACTGACATAAATTTTGACTACCTATCATTTAAAATCATTTATATCATACTTTTATATCAAATTAATTTTATTATATTATTTTAAATATTAGTTTAATATTCTTAAGATCTCAATAAAAACTAATTGTTCTTTTAAAATTTTGGAGGCTCAATGATTTCCAATGAATTGAGGGCATCATTAGTGGGAGCATTTGGAAAGGTTTAAATATGTAAACCTGTGAGGTTTGTTGTTATAGTGCACAGCGTTGAGGTTTACATTTGTAAACCAGGTTTGAAAACTCAAACCCCATCAAATGCAGGGAAATAACAATCGAAAAATAAATGGAATAGACTAGATTGAGAAATGTGAATTACAAATCCCAAAAATAAAGTAGTGTGTGGAGTACACTCACCAAAAATCACGTATAGTTAATTTCCATCACATGGCCCACACGGGCCACACATCTGATCTCACTTGTTTTTCTTTCTTTTTTTTTTATTTTTTTATTTTATTCTCCTCTCTTAAAAATGTTTACTTTTAATGTTTTTATAACTTTGTTTATTTTGTTTTCAGTTATTTGAAAATGGGAAAATGTATCCCTTCTTTTATTTGTTTATTTTTTACTTCTTATTGGGTGAAATATTTTTTTTTATTGGTTTAAATTTTCTTTTAATTTCGTTGGTTCATTATCCTCTTGGTGTTTTTATTTGTAAATGATGAAATATAATTATTTTATAATTATATTATTTTTATATAT